TACTTTACGAGTCCAGTGATTCTTGCACCACCTTCGATCTGGTTCCAGCCAAGGCAAGGTGAGAAAGAAGATGATGGAAGGAGAAAGACAAGCTCAAGCTGAGAGAGGGAGGAAAATACTATAATCCCACATGACCATTTCCACTGTGCCTCAGGTGGGGGTTTTCATGACTCTTTTCTGCTGCTTTCTTTGAACCAAATAATACGTTCTGTCTGCCTGAGGTAGGTACCGTCCACTGGTAAATGTAATACCCAGCTCAATACGGGGCGGAACCGGTCTGAAGCAGCAGCTAATGATCAGACTAGAGCCATTTATGGAGTTGGACTCTTCATATTCGCCCACTTGGTGCATCTCTCTGAGCGTCTCCTCTTCTCCAAAAAAAAAGTAGAGAATCCCTCGCTCAGTCAGGCAATTGACATTTTCACTTGGCTTTCCGGCTTCAACGTTAAAACTACACTCTCGGATTTGTATCTTCACCTCATCCGCGCTGTATCCTGACACAAATATACGGAAATTCAACCATCCAGCCTCTCCCTGCTGTTGACAGGTTCGGAGTACTTACTACTACTGCGAGGCAGTGGACCCAACCCCGAGTCCCCTCCAGTTGACCCTTTACTTCTCCACGATCCTGGTTTCATCCCCAGGGCACAGTGCAGCTCTTCACTCGGTCGCTATCACCGCAATTCGCACCATATTGTACGCAATCATAAATCCGACCATCTTTCACGATTACTGCACGTTTGCTTGACCAAGTCTCGATGCCGTCGGATCTCTAAGCCCCCTCCATCTTCAATCACCCCTCGCTCCAGATCAATTTGACAGTCTTTTGAAAAGACGGCCAACAGGAATCTCGTCTCCTGTCGTTGCCGCGACATAATCTGTCTTTCAGAACAAAATGGCAAGCTCGGTAGCAGGCGAATACCCGCAACCGATATCGTCCCCTCCCCCGGTCTATCTTCGATCATCACCCCCGCCTTCGCCGTCTCAAAGTCAATCGACCCCCAGGTCGATACCCCAACAGCGCGCAACAGAACACATTGCACGGAAGGCATTGCCCGGCTCTCGATCTGAAGATGAATATCCTCCAGTTCCGCCGGTCTATATTCACGAAGACATGAATTTGCCACAATCGTCCAACATGACACACGAAAGGTCTCGAAACGGTCATGTCGGGAATTCTATTCCCACCAATGCTTTAGCCAATATGTCGCTTGAGGATCGATCGCAGAATCCCCAGAACAGCAATGGGGCTTTTCCACCACGCCGAGACTCTTACGCCCCTCCGCCAGCCCCAGGATCGAGGAGAGCCGGGCATACGCCAGCTAGCAGCGGTTCCTGGTCTGTCATAGACAACCAGCTCAAAGATGAGACGAATGGTTCTATCCAGCCTAATGCCTCGCCTTCAGACCCTGCAGTTCCCAGCAGCCAGAACAACTCCTCGCGGGGCAGCTTGGACAGTGAGGCTCGGCCCGAGAACTTCGAGCCCTTGCACTATCATCACCAGCCTTATCGTAACTCCAAGGTCGCGCTCAAGTCGCCATCTGGTGCCGCTTCAACCGAGAATCTGTCCGGCTCCAACGGACATCTCTCAGCTAGACGGCATGGAATACCACGGCCAAACTCGACATACTCGTTCGTCTCGGACATGGGAGGCGATAGTCGGAACTTGTCGCCCGGTGCTTCGCCCTACCTTCATGCACGCACTTCACCGAGGAACTCCTCGTCCCCCGATGTCCGTCCACTTTCTTTTGTCGATCTCCTCAACACCGCCTATCCTCAGCCAGGTCCGACCCCCGGGCAACTGGACAACTCCCATCTAAAATCCTGGGTAGGCAACAATGCCTCCTTGCTCAGCCACAAACAGACCTTTGATATGTATCTTGCCAATGTGAAGAAAACGGACGACCCCGCGGTACAGTACGAGTTCGCCGTGTTTATGGTCAACGCGATGCTAGAAATGCCGCCGGACGATCATGAAGCACGCAAGGACGCAGTGTATGGCCGAAAAGCGGCAGGGATCACTCGTGAAAGTCTGCTCAAGGAAGCCAAGTCGATCTTTCAACGTCTGGCCGACCGTAGCTATCCGTTTGCGCAGTACTACTTGGCGGATGGATATGCATCCGGCCTCTTCAGCAAGGGCAAGGAGGATTATGACCGAGCATTCCCCCTGTTCTTAGCCGCGAGCAAGCATGGTCACGTCGAGGCATGCTACCGTACCGCCCTCTGTTATGAATTCGGTTGGGGAACCAGGGTAGAAGCGGCTAGAGCACAACAGTTCTACCGCCAAGCTGCCTCAAAGAATCATCCTGGGGCCATGCTGCGCATGGCCAAGGCCTGTCTGGCGGGCGACATGGGCCTAGGCAAACGGTATCGGGAAGGCATCAAATGGTTGAAGCGTGCGGCGGAATCCTCTGACGCCCAGTACAACTCTGCGCCTTACGAACTCGGTCTCCTCCACGAAACGGGATTCGGCGATGATGTCTTTCCTGATCCTGCCTACGCAGCTCAGCTATTTACCAAGTCGGCGGATCTGGGCCATGCCGAGGCGAGCTTTCGGCTTGGAGATGCGTATGAGCATGGCAAGTTGGCCTGTCCTCGGGACCCTGCATTGAGCATCCACTTCTATACCAATGCCGCACAAAGCGGGCATGTCTTGGCGATGATGGCCTTGTGCGCTTGGTACCTGGTAGGCGCGGAGCCTGTTCTGGAGAAGGACGAAGGCGAGGCCTATGAGTGGGCCAAGCGAGCTGCAGAACTCGGTACGTGCACACACGGACTCGACCGGTGTTAATTTGCTCACTTTCTACATAGGACTGGCGAAAGCGCAATATGCTGTCGGATACTTTACAGAGATGGGCATTGGCTGCCGTCGTGATCCATTAGAGGCCAACGTCTGGTACGTGAGAGCGGCGGATCAGGGCGACGAGCGCGCAAAGCATCGGATTGCCACGATTCGAGCTGCCGCCGAGGGCAGGAGCCCTGCGCAGAATGGAAAAGAAGGGCAAAAAGAGAATCAGAAGTCTCTAGGTGCGTTCAACGACCCTTCGTGCTACCTCGAGCTAATCCATGGAACAGATGCCGGAAAGACTGGCAAATCTAAACGGTTTACTATTTTTTAAGAAAGCATGACGATCAGTATTCACGACAAGCCTTATCCATCGGTCGATTCTCAAATGTCTATATGCTCCATATCACTATGGGATTAATACATAATGCGGATTCTACATACACATTTCGTCGACCCTGACTGCCGCCTGAGGTTCTGTCAAGGGTTACAGCGTTTAGCGCGCATCGATACAGTCATGTTGTGGGGTTTCCCTTTTTCTGCTCTGGCAGCCGAACACTTGTTTGAACGACTTTTATGGAACTCGAACAAACATTGCATCCTATCAGTCATTGATTATTCATGTACCACGAGCCATCCTTAAGACTCTCAGTAGAGGATGAGCTCTACCGTCATTCTATATCTCTTGCAAGCATTCTGTTGCCATCAATCTTTACTTTCCCTCATCCATCGCTGGTGCTTGATTTTCGGCGCATGGCAATGCTGTACAGTTAATTAGCGGGCTTCATTGGGCGTTTGAACATTACGCATGATTCTTGTTGATTACTGTGTTTGAACCATTCAACAAGTCATAACCTGGAGGTCATTGAGATGTTTGTTAGGCAGGTATTAGGGATGTGCAATGCTAATTTGGGAACTGTCAGTACATATACGTAGTGTAGGTGACGAGCTGGAACAATCAATAGTCCTTGGGCAGTACAAGGGCCAGTTATGATGTCATCATGGGCATGCTGGGACCTCCTGAGTACGCGCTCAATGACTCTCTTATGACCGTCTGGCGCCTCTTTTATGAAGATGCACCATTTACTCAGCTAAACCGATGACACAGAGAGTCAGGCATTCGCAATGCAGCACGTTCAAGACTACCTATGATCTCGTACATACGAGTCAGATTCTCCTTAGTACATCGAGCTACTATCCCTGCCGTCATTGTGCCTGCATCAGAGCAAGCATGCTGTGGGTAATGGCCAACTGGTCTAGGCAACAGAGCGGATCCACGAGGACTATTCGTCAGTCCTCAGATGCTCGAGCTATTGCCATCCAGATACGAACAGCCGTAGTCTACTTGATACATAGGAGTAAGGCAGGGTATAACACCAGCCATGCAATAATAACAATCCAACCTACAGGCTAGCATGATTTCCCCTGGACATAGACTACTCCCGCCATTCGTCCTTGGTATGGAGAAGCCGGTATCCATCTCATGTCATCGACAGCTCACAGGTAGCACACATACCCACCGCCAGCGCCCCAGCGTCCAATAACAAGGTGTACGGACACCGTCCTGCAGATCACTGATCACTGATCAACAGTGTAACAGCCGATCCCGCTGATTGTGTTTCAGATTGCTTGCAGTCGCTTCCAAAAATACAAGAGCACAGGGTGAGAGACAAGGCACAGAGCCAGCCCAGGCTTGCTGCTCTATGGAGTAAGGAAGGTACCGTACGCAGGCTCATTGTCGCACCAGCCCGACCTCCTGATTTTCACTCGGCTCTTTGTCAAGGTGTGACAGGGAGGTACATAATCTGCTGCTCTGCTCAGCCTCCCACGTTCTTTTGTTTTGAGTTCTACTCTCGGACAGTTGACTGCTGTAGACTCGTGCATCGATCAAATTCATTTAGTTCAGGTACGTACGTGAGCCCCGTCATTATACCCTATACTCCCTTCCTTCCTGCCCCTTCACACCCTGCCTGCAGCCAGCAGCCAGCAGCCACAGCCTGCTAGGTAGCACTTCATCTTACAGGGGGCGCAGAAGATAATCTACCTTGAATCACAACCACCGTTGGTAAAAGCTTCCTATGAAGGGATACCAATCTGACAAGTCACGCAACACAGTTTCCACAACCACCACGATCATCCACTTTACCGAGAACCTACGTACCGTACCTATCATCGACTTCCCTCCAGTAAACTCCAAAGCTGTTCAACGTCTAAAATGCGTCTCCTCTCGCTCACCCTCCTCCTCTCCGCCGCCGTGGCGCTGCCTTCCGCTGAGAAGTCCTGCTCTGGCGTAAGTTCTCACATACTTCCCCTCCCCTTTCCCATAGTCATGCTCAATCTCAACTCATCCTCTCCTCTCGACACCGAACCTGGAGTAATGCCAACCCGCTAAGCACGCAATAACTAACTCCAAATAGGTCGGCTTCCCCTGCGGCAACGCGACCGTAAACGCCTACGACTGCTGTGTCCCTCTCGTCTGTGGCCCGGGCGCGGTAAGTCAAGTCCCAAGTCCAAGTCCAAGTCCCCTCTTGCCTTCCCTCGTGTTGTCGGCATCACCAAATTGAAAGCTAATGGACTGAACTAGCAACCGGTTTGCCAGCAGCCTCCTCGTCCTCTTCCACTTCCATACCGCAGGAACAAGAACTGAATGCGATCGGAAGATCAGGGCTAAGGGTCGAGGGAGGGGTTCTATTCGTCGTGCCAGTCAGCCTGTATTAGAGGATTGATAGACCGATGGGGCAGTGTTTGGAGTCGATCATACTTCTTGTACTTGTAGATTAATCTTGTGGTAATGCAGTGTCATACCGTTGTTGCGTTTGTCTACGTGCGGAGTGCGGCAGATGATAAGATAGAGAGGAATGGGCACTAAAGGCAGTGATAAGATTCTAACCCCGCTTGAAGGATCACTAGATCTGGAACAGTCATGCGGAAGGATATGATAGATCGCGGCTACAGTTACGTCAAAGTTGAACAGGAGATACAAATCAGTATGAATTGCATATACAAGACAGTAAAGAAACAGTCGATTGGCTCAGGGGGCAGACATGAAATAAAAAGTTATATCTACTATGGGAACTTGGAGGTACATTGAGAATGGTATAAGGTGGAAACTGTCGTGGAACACACAAAAAAATTTGAAAGGATATATCCTGGGTCGACAGAAAATTGAGAATAACTCCAAACCTCCCTAGATTCTCTCAAAACGCAAGCTCAACCCGCGCTTAGTTGAAGGTGTCGATGCAACCCCAGTAGCGCTCGACGTCGAACTGGCCGGGCTCCTTCCAGAGGTCATCAAAGTAGGAGAAGAAGACGGACTTGGAGCCGACTTCCTGGGCAATGGACTTGATGGCGATGGCCTGCTCGGAGGCACCGGGAACAGCCTTGCCGTTGGCGTTACCAGAGTGAGGCCAGCCGGTCTCCAGGTTGAGAACATCCTTGCCAGGGCAGATGCCCTCAAGGACCTTGATCTCCTGAGCAACGAACTTGCCGGCCTGGTCGGCGGAGACATCGGCGTTGAAGAAGGGGTGGATGTTGGCACCGACGATGTCGCAAACACCGCACAGAGTGGAGCCGTGAGCCTGCCAGACGTTGATGGGCTCGGTGGTGGTAACCTTGCCAGTGTAGCCGGCTGATTGGAAGGCGGACTTGGCAGAGGAGATGAAGCCAGCAAGAGTGGAAGCATCGCAGTAGCCGTTCTGGATAGCCTCGTTACCGACGACGATCAGGCTGACGAGGTCCCACTGGGCCCACTTGGAGATAGCGGTAACCTGGTCCTGGGCACCGGAGACACCAGTGCTGCTGATGAAGACACCAATGATCATCTGGAGACCAGAAGTCCGGGCGGCCTCACCAATGTACTCCAAGCTGTTGCAGTCGGTCGAGTAGACACGGACGTGGGTGAAACCCTTGGACTTGAGGTTGGCGACCTCGGAGAGGACGGAGGACTTGTCCTTGCAGTCACCACCCTTGGTGTAAGGAGTGTAGGTCATACCCATCTGGCCGCTGACGGCACCGGTGGAAGCAGGAGCGGTGCTGGAGCTGGAGGGGGCAGCAACGCTGGTGGAAGGCACGGCGGTGGTGGTGGCGGGAACGGCAGTGGTGGCAGGAACGGCACTGGTGCTAGGGGCAGCAGGAGCAGACGTGGGCTCGTTCTGGCCGGTGAAGGGGCAGACATAGGTGTAGTCGGTACGGGTGACGGTCACAGTCTGCTCAGGCTGAGTGTAGGTGCCAGGAGTGATGACGGCGGGAGTGGGGTAGACAACGACGGTGCTGGTAGGGACGGTTGTGGTGGTGGGAGCAATGGTGTAGGTGCCAGGAGTGGGGCAGACGTAGGTGGTGGTCTTGATGACGCTGGTCACGGTGGTGCCAGAGGGCTCAACGGTGGCGTAGGGGCAGACGACGGTGGTAGCGGTCTCAACCACAGTGGTGACACCACCGTAAGTGTGAGTACCAGCGGGCAGCTCGGTGGTGGTAGCTCCGCACACGGTGGTTGTGTCGAAGACGGTCACCGTGGTGGCGGGAATGGTGTAGACACCAGTCGAGGGGAAGTTGGTGATGGCGGGAGTGGGCAGAGGGACCTTAGGGGTAGCAGGGCTCGAGCTCGAGCTGGCCGCGGGAGTGGAGGGAGTGGCAACAATCGTCACGGTGCTGGTGCTGGTCGAGTGCAGAGTGGTGACAGCCTCGGAAGTGACGGTGCTGGGAGTGGGAGTCGCAACGGGGATCACTAATTTGATGTTAGCAGTGGCTCTCTGTAAGCACTGTATCTCTTGATATGATCAACCAAGCATCGAGTCATATCAAACACCAGCTCGATCAGATCCGGTCGCAACTTCAGGAGACTTACGGGTAGGGGAACCCCAGACAGTTACGACCTCGGTGGTGCAACCGCAGGTAGCGTCAGCTTCGGCGGCAACAGCACGACGCTGGTGGAAAGAATCGTGGCCGTGACGACGCATATGCGCGACATCAGCCATGGCGGTGCCCGCAAGAGCGGCCGCGGTGGCCAGAAAAGCACCCCTCATGGTGAAAAAAAATGTAAAGATATTGCAAATTTCAAGGAATGCCCGCTGAACGAGTGAAGCGGTAGTGAATAAAGCGCTTGTAAAGGAGGGGCGCGGTGGCCTCTTTTGATTTCTTGAGATGGAAGAGACTTGAGGAAGTTCGGGATAGAAAGAGGAGAAGAAGAAGAGGAAGGAAGAAGGGAAAGAGAGGGAGAAAAGAGGCGAGTAGGGGCGGCCAGCGGGTGATAGAAAAAGCCAAAGCCCACTTGATGTGATCGTGGCCGGGGGACCCCCTGGAGACTGACTGACTACAGAGAGACAGAGAGATACTACGTTTGTTCATTAGTTCTGGACCCGGTACCAGCATCCCAAATGGGGCAAGTCGAAGGAAATTAGCGTGCCTTAGCGCACACTGCTGCAGCAGCGGTGTAAGGCACTACTCTGATCTGTTAGACTCCATTGAGCATAGTCAGGCACCACATTATGCTCATTGGTAACTATTCGGAGGGGGCGTTGCAGGGTGTCCCAGAGGAAGTTGACCAGTGGTAGTCCGCACGGCTCGGATAGTTTGTCAGGGGTGGGGGGAAAGAGCACAAAACATTGACAACAGCAAGAAAATTAGAGTCGACGCTGGCTAATCATCCTTTGTCTCATTGTCAAGTTTCGGCTTAGACCAGGCTGATCCTTACGATAATCAGAGATGAGAGGGTCAGCCAGAGGCCATAGGTCAAAAAGAGGGACTTTCGCCGTGTCATTTATTATTATTCTTCTTCTTCTGATTTTTCACTTAAACGAAGATCCAACTATTCTTGCATCTCCATCTACTATGCTCTATGCAGTTGAAGATCCTTTCATCTAGAACATTGCTCCAGTGTTCGATGGTGGTCTTTGGACTTTGAAGCAGTAGAGATGGATCGCAGTGGCTGGTCCGTTCAGGAGACTCGTGCTTGGTGGTACTAAAGTTATGATTATTGTTTCAGCCCCCGTCCACTGCGCCTAGTCACTGTAGCCCGTATTATTGTCAATTTGTTGGTAGTTATCATCATAACTTGGCAATCTGACTGTTATTGCATTCTTTTTAGGGTCGCCAGCTCATCTTACATAACTGGCCAGCTGTCTGGTGAGTTACATTTTATGCCATTTGATTTTGACCTTGAACTCCTAGGAGGAAGGAAACGAGAGTTGTTTGTCCATCTTCAGGCAACCTGGTTCCAACGGCAAAACACAGCAAGGCACTCATCTCCGCTAATGGCGCCATGTGGGGATTTGACTCTTTACCATGCAGAACTAGGCCCAGATAGGCATAATAGATCATCTGTGATCCTGCATCCTTGGGTTTAATTGGCGGTTGCCGTGAGCTTTAATTTCCGGACGTTCCACCCCCAATTTAAGTCGAGTTTGCTCATTTTTGTGTGGATTTATTTTTGTGCTGGTGAATAGATAGTTCCATCAGCCACCGCTTTTACCAACCTCTGTTGTTATTATTAACTGCACCATGAATAGATGAAACTCTGCACTGCATCTACGGATTAGTCCGTAGGACTCTCCTGGGGTTCAGAAACCTGAATTAAGATAGATTCCTTATGAACTGGATTTGCGGCTAATTGACCAATGAGGCTATCTTTGGATACTATTACAATAGCTCCTCCGGCTAATGGCTCTTGACCAGCGATGAACAGTTGCCCGACGTGGAGCTTTCAATTCAACGCTTCGAGAGCGTTACCTGAGCCTCGGCCAGCCTCGAAAGTGCATTGTCGATTTGGCAAGATGAACTCCTGCATTTATCGACCAAATGGCTCCACATCGAGGGTTCAACGTGGTCGTCGTTTTCTCGTCCAGTAATTTCTTAGCCTGGGCTCTTTGAGTTGTCTTACCATCTCTGATGATCGACATTTGGAGGATATACACTATCCTCATAGTCGCCGGGTACTTTCCGCTTTTAACGAGACATTTGAGCTGACTATGTCCAGGACTCGGGGTCAGTACCCGATAGTCTCCATACGCAGGGAGTAGTGTCCGTAGCGCAAATCTCAAATTGTGTGAGATGGACTGCTGGTGTCAGTTCCAAAGCTGGTTCCGGCTGAAGCCAACAACCGAGACGAGGATTGCCATCTCACCAGTCAGACGCTCTCGTTCGCTGGACGCCAATTGTGGAATATATATACCTTTTGAATGTTATGGAGGTTGTGACGCGCACGGTCAGCTACCTTTTGAGTAGAAGGGATAGTATCTCTCATATCAAGATTGTAGCCACGTTTAGTCCTCGTTCTCTCCAGTACAACCCCTGACTCGAAATGCAGCATTCCAGCTGCACTGACTCGGCTGTGGCATCACCTGAATACAGTGGACACAGCTTTTTGTGCCCCTTATCCTATCATGATCCATAAGCTGACAGAACGGTTCTGGAGACTGCGGGGTGACATCCCCAGAAATCCAACACCCAGCAATTCCTTTCGGCTACCCCTGAAAGCTCGACCAACCAGCCTGCTGAAGCGCTCACTGCTCAGGGGGTGATAGCGCTTGTCGCTATCGTTTGGCCGTGCATTTTGAACAGTGGCTCGCTAACAGCCTAGCACGTTGCTATTCAAAACTGTTACTCAAAATTATCTACCAAGTACGAATCACATTCTCTGCGTATGAGACAAAGTCACAATACCGTCCACTAGCGGGCTTAGGGCCGTTGTCTAAGACAAGGTTTCAATAGAGCCTTTACGAGTCAGAAGGCCAGTCCCAAATAGGCATTGCACTACGTCGTGAACTCAGGGGTGGTGTCGAACTGTCAAAATCCTGTTGATGGCTCCTGGTTCGGCTGTTGTGAATAGAAACTTGCAGTGGTAATCGACCATTGGCCAACCATGGACAATATATTGATATCCTACGCCTTTACAACGAAAATGACTTTATCCCATATATATCATAAACCTTTTGTTGCAGACTGATGCTGAAGATCATAGTAATATATGCTCCTTAAATACTGATGGGTTGTGTGTAAAGGCAAGAGGGGCAACACCTCACAAAGCTGTGCCAGCTCTGGGTTGGATTGGGTTATGTAACAAAAAGCGGAAGCATCCTTCAACAATGGCCGGTTGGTCTAGTTGGTTATGACACATCGTTAACACCGATGGGGTCGCCGGATCGAGCCCGGCACTGGTCATTTTTTAATTTTTACATCTTTTCATCTCAGAATCAATGGTTTTGCTCCAGAATCGACGACCTGATATCATCCATTGGACTGCTCCTACCAATGTATCTCTTAGTATCATCAATTTACAATTTGAACATTCATTGGGCCGCGACTGGGAAGACCTGACTTGGAAGAAACACCTCATTCGTGGAGTAGAGGGCGAAATCGAGTCTTGAGTCTTGACGGACATTCCCCTTCCATGAGCAGTATCTGAATGACATATGATATGGGATCCCATAGGGTGAACCATCAAATTCAACTACTTTGTGCGCGTCCGATCAACTAGTACATTTCCATGCACTGTGATAAGATGATTCTAATACTGCGGCTTATGGATTCATATGTTATTTTATCTGCATTTGTAAACGTCAATAGGACCTTCACATACACAGGCAGTGCTCTGATAGAAGATCCACAGAAAACTGCAGAGCAACGAGCATGGTGGTTATAAACAACATCGAGTATCGATATTCTCAGGAAGTCTGAATGGCGCTCAGTCATCAAGGTACTTGGAATCTCGGATGTTGATAGATGGAAGACCTCAACACATACGATGCAAGGCAGACAAAACAGAGAGCTAAAAGAATGATAGGGCATTGAGCAGCTAACTGGACGCTATCTAGGGAGGAAGAAGCAGTATGTCTGGGGATAGAAGGTAAGATCCGGCAAAGCCAGAGAGGCCTGTACAATGCTTTACAGAAACAAACGAAGCTGTCTGAGCAGACAATGATGGAATGGCACTGGTCACATGACCATCTGTCTAATCAATGTATAATTATGCGTCACTCTTTCTTCCCCCAAGTTGAATACCCATGGTTTCAGGCTACTTTGCTTTTCTAAATCCTCCCATTCACAGCTTTCATCATTATGAGAGCTATTATCTCGCCTACGCCGCTAGGTTAGGCTTAGCGGGCCACCCACCTCTGTAGATAGCTTCTCTCTCTATCTCTCTCTGTCTCTCTCTCTCTCTCTTCCCCCCCTCTCTCTCAGAGTAGATAGTTCGAATATCGTGCTTTCGTCTTCTTCCATCCTCTCTCACGATCATGGCTCCTCGTACCAGAACGACCTGCTTCGATACTCGATTGCTCCGCGGCCTAGTAGGCACTACGATCACCACATATGACCTTGTCTCAGACGGCGCGTCACCAGAATCTACCTCCCGGACGTGGGTCATCACAGAGAAACTCTCGGAGAGGGCAAGCCCTTTGACAGAGCACGATGTCAGAATGGGCCGCGGGTCTTCTATGACTGTTGGCAGATTTCTGTGCCACCTTGCAGAGGACCCGAAGCAGATAGCGTTCATGCGAATCTACCAACAGATTCCTATCACTGGAACAGAGGACGCTGATAACGACACACTGGCTAGACAGGCCGTTCCCCCTGGCGTGTGTGGTGAGCTGGAGTGCTTCAAACTATTGCAGAGCGGAGGCTGTAGCGCTGCTCCTCGCTTCCTTGGCTACGCAGAAAGAATACAAGGCGAGCACGAACTTCTTCCTGGCGGCTACGTTAGATACCTTGTGTGGGAAAAGGTCCGAGGTGAACCAATGACAGAGGAGTTCATCTGGGGCTTGGATGACGCCGGACGCAATGACATTCGTTCTAAGTTCCGTGCCGCCTATAAGTAAGTCTATGCAAATCCTGGTACGCAGACAGCTAGACAGGATACTAACATGATGAAAAGACAGTTACTTAGTTGCGGCGTAGAACCAGGAGAGGCCAGAATATCGATGCTCATCTTTGATCAGTCCACAGGCAATCTGTACGTCAGGCATGGCATGCTATGTAATGTGTTGGAAATATACACTAACGGATTACAGTCGCATTTCGGGCTTCCGAGGGGGGTGGCCGATTTTAAGTAAACTTGAATGGTCAAAGGCTCGTTACGTCGAGTTTGGACTCGCTAAGCCAAGCAAAGAGACAGACTGGTACCTTCACCCGGAAAGATGGGAGTGGTGAACTATCTTGCTGGCACGCAACGGGAAGAGATGCTGCTGTTGTTGAGTATGCAGACTGAGCAGCGAAGATACAATTTAAACGAGAACTGCCGGACCTTGCTCCTAGTCAATACAAAATCGAAAAATGAAAGCACATTGTAATAAGAGTCCAGCTCCGTCGAACAGGAGATATTGAGAATCATATAGTACGCCGAGGAGTTGCGGCCTAGAGCTCAAACCTTGGAGCAGAGATCAACGAATAGCCTCTGCTGCGGCAAACTACACCTGGAACATGACCGAGTCAGACCTCTATAGCCGTAGTCGAGGAACGAGGTACATCTGCCCAGAGCGTACAAACTAAGGTCAATTGCTTGTGTGTACGAATCCAAAACTCTAGATAGCCCAGAGTGTACTTGATTCCGAAAACTAGACGAGTCATGAAATACTAAACATTTATAATCCACCCCGGAGACCTGTTGTTGACCGGTCCGTGCATGGACGCATTGATGCCCATGTAGAAAAAACATTGCTTCACAGAAACAACAGGGGCTGTGTCTCGTGTCTATCGTAAGTGGTGGACGACAGAATCACAGGAGAATACTCAATCCTCCATACGCCATTATTGTGAATGACCTGTCTCAAGAAGATCGTCTCTTCGTATGTGTACATGCAGCCCAGGTCTCGCATATACTTGATAGGTTGGGCGAGTATCTTTTTTAAAAGGCGGCCACATCCAAGCCTTGGTTGAATGTGATGCTCGGTAATCCAGGGTGCCTTGAGCTCCCCAACAATCTTCAAGGCGTGGTTGTTGTCTTTCACAATCACGTCAGGGGCGCCGGTGTATGTAGAAGGTATACACTTAAATCTGCAAAAAGGAGATTGATGTGGCCGGTCGATTGCGATGCGAAAATAGTGTCAAGTACGTCTCCAAATATTTTCTGAAACCGCCTTGGACGCCGTGTTCATCCCCAACCTCGACATTTCCATGCGTATACGGATCGCGGGCTTGAAGTGTGTAACCAAAAATTTGCCGACTTCAGGTACAGCCTTCGTGACAAGCCTGAACAGCGCTCAGGAAGCCTGGCCATGGCTGGAGATCACGGCAAAGTAGATATTGTATAAAGCGCTCGAATGCGTATGATTCTGGGACGTAGTAAGGGCTGGAGCGGCGGACTCGACAGCTTGCTTCGCGTCAATCTTTGTTGGCATTGTGCAATCTTGTTGACGATGGAGACTGTTAGCAGCCCACCCCGACACAAATCAGTGCTCTATCCATATAGTGCGTACAGAGTCATAGAGGGCTCGAGCGGGCTAAATTGCTGAAAAGCTAAGGCCAGGAAAAGAGGCGAATGTATGTTTCAGTCAAGAGGGACATGTGTTGACAATTGAAAAAAGAGAGTATCTCAGCGCGATTGCCCACCAGGGAGTCAACCCAAAACCACAATCAAACGAAAGGAATGGAATGCGACGACTGAATCGTGCGGGGGATCCTCATCCATCTTAGCGCCATCAGTATCTTAGTTCCTCCTAACACTTCAACTGCCAGTGTAGCTTCAAATAGACTCCTCTCTAGTCAGATTATGAGCAGGAGCTCTCACTACAATAACCCTACGCGTCTGGTAGTATGCTTTATGCATCTCCAGCGTCTATGCGCACCTTCACGTTCTCGAGGTCCATCAAGGATCTCGCTTTCTCTGAGACCGTCGCAAGTCTAGGCCAACACACCACAAGCAAGAGGATTCAAGGTTTAGTTCTTATTTCCTCTCCTTTATCTTCCTTTCCTCTATCGCGAGCTATGACGATTAGCAAGAGACGTGTATTTTGACTGCTCTTAAGGCTGATCTGCTTTAATTTATGCCTCATTTTATAATGCACCTCCTAGATCCTTTCTTGATTGCAAGACATTAAGAAGGATATGGCAAGGGTTTGGAAGGCTGACTTCGAATCATATTACGGGTATCGAGGTACCAGCTGGGAAACCCCTCGATAAATCTCAAGCTGAAACTGCCGAGAAGCCAGAAACCTCCAACCGGGAGGATCAAGGAGCTACGTCCACCTGGAAAACTCAGTCGCTGTTCCGGTCAAAGAGTTCAAGCGGCCGTCCGTACCTTTTTGAAGTTGTTCCCCAAAGAAGTCACTTTCCGCCAGCTGAGCTCTTATTATCATCCGTGCGCTCTGGGTCTGGTTTGCGGAGGAATATAGCCTGAAGTTGAAGTTTACAGGCGTCTACTGAGCGGCCCGCCATACTCAGCTTTATAAGCCTCCCTCCTTTGGACTCATGATGGAGCTGCTGGAATGCAGCTACTGCAGCTGTTAGGCTAACTTAGGGCTATTGTCCAGCAAGGCCCGAAGTGGGAAAGCGTCGGGATACCCGCGGGGGCCGGGGCGCCGACCGTCTGCGATGGAAACAAAACGATCTCTTGCAAGAAGGCCAGGGTCCAATGTCTCATTGAAACGGAGCTGGACTCTTCTTACAGTGCTTTCATTTCCGACTTGATGTTGGCTACGGAGTAGAGGAAAGCCTATCCCGTAAATCCCCGACAGTTTCTCACTCGAATCGTACCTACGCTGCTCAATCCACATACTCAACACCAACAGCATCAGCTCTCCCGTCGCATGACAGCAGAATATACCTCACAAACCAATCAGAATCTCACCTAATGAGGTTATCAAAAAACAAGGAATGCTAAAAAATTGTACAAGCAGACTCATGGCTTCCACAGGCCAGCTCACAGAAAACATAGCAAGACCTGGAAGCTGGAGCATCCCTGGTCTAAGAATCATGCCACCGCCTATACGGCGACCACACCACCTCATTTCACCGCGCCACGATCCTGGACCACGCCATCCTATTATGCCGTCTTCAATTGAATTCTGAATGATTTCTGTAATCTGGTTGGATGATGCTTTTCAGCCTCCGTGTTTACCCTACAGAAGCATCACGAACATGTGGGTATCGTCCATATCTCGATCCCGGCGTCAGGTAAGGTGATTCGGAAGCGCGATTGCCTTTGCTATGGTTCAATCGCTTTCCTTTAAGCTGAGATGCCTCAAAGATATAAAGAGGGTGGTGGGTGGGTGAAACTGGATGTTATATCCATCAGCATCAAGATCAATCCAGCGAACGCGAGGACGCATTGAAACTACAGCAGCAAGCAGCAAGCAGCGCATACACATATCAACCAAATCAAAGTACTCGTCGTGACAAAATGACGGAATCCTCCTCCGCTCGTCTCCAAAATGACTATGGAGCGGATCTATGGGTTCGCTCTGGCGCGGAACGTCGCGTAAGTACTTCCTGTCACAGATGTTCTCTTTGGCATGGGATTAACAGATGGCTGGGCAGCACCCAACGGCTGGACGAGGGCTCTTCGCCGGCCTTCAGGACGTGAAGCACTACAATGTCGACCATGGCTGGGCCAAGCGCAGCCAGGATCAATCACGGGGGCTGTTCAGTTTCCTGTGGAGTCGGTATGTGTTTCGTTCTTGTTCCTTGGTATGCAACGACTAACTGGGCAGGTTTACGGGAGGAGCATATCGTCCCCCGACGGATTCATAGTTGGGGTGCTTGTCGTCGTTATAGTTATGGTTATGGTCTTTGCATGTTATGATATCGGTTTAGCGTTCGTACAGCATCAACATTAGCATCAGCATCAAGTTATTCACTACCTCTACCATCTTCCTTACCAAACTAAGCATATACTTCAACGAAGTCAAGCCTTGATGCTCATCCCCCCATCCGACTGCACCACACCCCCAGTGACAAACCCATCCTTCATAACCCCCAAATACCCCTCCGCCACATCCTCCGGCCTCCCCAGTTCCCCCGTCAACGTCCTCCCCTTCAACCCCTCAATCACCTCCTCAGGCAAACCCCCAAACAACTCCGTCCGCACCGCCCCCGGCGCAACGACATTCACCCTCACCGGCGCAAGATCAACCGCTAACCCGCGCCCAAGCCCGATGATCGCATTCCCAAGCATAGCTCCCACACTGTACCCAGGCGGCGGCCGCATCGCCACCGCCCCGCTCGTCAGCGTTAACGACGACCGCGCTGATTGCGCCATGTATGTCGGGACATGCTTCGCGAGCATCATGCTGCCCAGGACCCGGACGGTGGTGAGGGCGCGGATGTATGCGGGGTCAAGCGCTGGGTCCGTCGGCGGGAGGATTTTGAGGGCGTCGCCGGCGGTAAAGACGATGTGGTCTAGGAGGATCTTTTCGCTTGCACTGGGTGATGGGGCAGACGGGAAGAGATCAGGCTGTGTTGCTTTATCCAGCAGAGTGAGGATGTTCGCCTCGAGGGTGGACTCATCCCCTAGGTCGACGGTTGTGCCGGCTATTCTGGTCGTGAATTGCTCGTCTGGGTAGAAGGTGCGCAGGCGGGAGAGGGCGGACTGGACTTTTTCGGGGCGGGAGCTGGCGACGAGGACGCTGGCGCCGTGTTCGAGGGCGGCGCGGGCCACGGCGAACCCGAGGCCGGAGGTGCCGCCGATGATGAGGACGCGGGTGCCGGAGAGCTTGTTGATGGAGACGAGGTTTGGAGTTGAGGTTGCCATTGTGAGACTATCTTGTAGATGCTAGGACTGTTGATGTGGGAGGAAGTAGGGCTGTCTTGGACCAACAGTGAATTGGAGAGATCTGCTGGATATTCAGCACGAATGCATCTGATGATGATGGCTTTATGTACTCCGTGTACTCTATAACATGACAAACACATCTTACTGCTTACCAAGCATGATGTTGAAACAGCAGGGATTCTCCATCTTACTCCGCAGCGGTGAGTACTATGTCCGGCAGGCCTGCCTATCTCCGATTGACTGCACAGACGACCAAAGAGGAGAACGTATTCCATGTGGAAGAAAATTGATTGTTGCTCACTACAAGAACAGCTAACCGCTAGACATAAAATGGTACAAGACTCCGTAACCCAAGATGACCCAGTCCCGTCAATGACATCAGCGACGCCATATCTAATGATGATGGTATATATTTTATAGTAGATTAGATTTGTTTGCAAATGCATCAGTCCCAGCCGGTGATCTTCATGGTTCCCTTCTCCTGCAGGTTCTGGTGCATCTTGAAGGCCTGGAAGAGCAGATGGGGCTCGTGACCCATGCCCTTCTTCAGGCACTCGTATTCAGCCCGGTCCATGTAGTCCGTAAGAATGGGCTGGTAGTCGGGGTGGGCGCACTGCTTGATGATGACACGAGCACGTTCGCGAGGAGACAGACCACGCACGTCGGCGAGTCCCTGGATAGTGTCAATAGAGGCCAATAGATGGTTTAAAAATAGCTTACCTGTTCAGTCACAACGACGTCAAGATCGTGCTCGGTCTGATCAATGTGAGTGCAGAAAGGCACGATGCAGCTGACACCGGTAGGATCGATCTTGCTGGGACGGGTACTGGGGGTGTGCATGATACTGTACTTGGAGTTGCGGAGGAAGTCGGCAGATCCTCCCAGACCGTTGAGCATCCGAGAGCCCATGACACAGGTGCTGTTGGCATGGGCATAGATATCCACCTCGACGGGAGTGTTCATGCCGATACATCCAATACGACGGATGATCTCGGGCGAGTTGGACACTTGCTGAGAACGCAGCAGAAGCTTGCCGGCATAGCGCTCCCAGTTATCGTAGAAGCGCTTGAATCCATCGGGGGAGAACCGAATGGAGGTGGCAGTGGCAAAGTCCAAGTTTCCAGAGTCAAACAGATCCAGGAAGGAATCCTGCAACACCTCAGTCCAGACCTTGAGGTTGGTGAAGTCGGCACCACCCTTGCTCAGGCCACCAATGACCGCGTTGGCGATATTTCCAATACCGGACTGGATGGGGAGCAGGTTCTGGGGCAGACGGCCATGCCTGACCTCGTGCTTCAGGAACTCGATCAGGTTGCTGGCAATGGCCTGCGAGGTTGCGTCCTCGGGAGCGTTGGGCAGCGTCTGATCCGGGTAGTCCGACTCGACAATGGCGACGACCTTCTCCGGGTCGACGGGGATGTGGGGGGTTCCAATGCGGTCCTCGGGCTGCATGATCAGGTACGGCTTCCGGCGAGGAGGAACGTCCGACATGGTGATATCGTGCAGACCCTCGAACGACGGACTGGCCGTGTTGACCTCGATGACGATTTTGTCGGCCATCTGGATCAATTCCGGGGACGCACCGACGGAAGCACCGGGAATGATGCCTCCGTCCTCAGTGATGGCCGACGCCTCAATCACAGCAACATCCAGCCTATTCTTGGGCTTGTTCAACGTATACCAACCCTGTCACAATTAGCACCGCTCTGTTTAACCGTCTTGGGATTTCTCACATAGACAAGGTCCGACGGAAACATGCTCAGATGCTTATCAAAGAACTTGATCTCGCCATTATTGATACCCTTGGCAATCTCCTTGCCAACCTGATGAGGGCTCCGCCGCTCAATCATGTTCAGTCGCGCCCATCGGTTCTCTGTCTCGGCACCTGAAGAGGCACCAACGAACAAGGTGTACTGTAGCTTTCCCTGCAGGTTGTTCTTCTCGACATGATCAGCGAGAGCGGTAGGCACTTTCCTTAGGAGAGCAAGCGGGCGTCAGCTGTGATACTTGTTGTCTATGCCAAAAGTCAACTTACTTGGGGTAGCCAACACCCGTGAATCCGGACCAGCCGATGTATGATCCATGGGGGAAGAGATCAATGAGATCTTCAGCCTTGGCCAGCTTCTGGAGGTAGGAGGGCCGCCTCACACGGCTTTTCAAAAGTGCGGACGCAGCCATTGTGTGGTGGGGAGGTTTGAAATGAGCGCAAAGAGTGGAGAGGAATTGTCAGAGGGGGGGAGAAGGGGAAATAAAAGAAGGAAGAGGGCGGATGGGATGACGAGAGGGGGAGGAAAGGAAGAATAGAAATAGTTGCGCCACGGAAACAAACTCCCCACGGGCAGCGTGATTGATTTGCCCAAGGTGGAGAAATCCTCCTGTCCGGGTTACGGGGGGGAGGAAAGCAAGAGGTATTATTTCTATGCAATAGGAGTAGTAATAGGAGTAGTAATAATCATGTCCTTTCTAAACTATCTGGAGGGCAACCGGTGAGTGGACTCCTATACTAAGGAACTATGGAGTCCAAGCATAATCAACAGCATGGATCTCATCCTCTTTCTCAGAGAACAAGGTAAAGAGAGCATTCAATTAGGCATGCCTGGGATACTTTCTGCCTTCTCAACCCCAGATTCTGTTCTCTTTTCGTGCTTCCCCTCCAGATCCCCTCCAATGCCTCAAAATGTTCTTTTTCTTCTTTTCCGGTGCATCTCTCATGCTGACGTCACGCGGCAAACTCTCGGCTTTTTCTCGTTTTTGTTCTTTCCTCCCCTTTTTTCCACGCAACATCTGGATATCTTTATGGTAAGACTGCTATGCTGAGATGTTTTAGACCAAATTTATTGTCTATCAACAGTTTCCGAATCGAATACAAATAACCCTCCAACAGACCATGCTTGAGGTTATTGACTGTCTTGACTTGATCCCGAGACGCCAACCCCGAGCCTTGTCCGGGTATCTCCCATCGGCCAAGTCTCGGCTGTACCGGCTATGGATGTTCGGCCACACGGAGCTTTCGACGCTTCCTTTCAGCTACAGAGTTCTCCTGAAGGCAGTGTTCGGTTATTCCACTCGCAGATGACAGACCAGAGGTTTTCAGGTACCCATCAGGACCAAAGTTGTCTCAACTCCAGACTCTCCGGATTTCCGGGTCCGGACTGTGGGCCGAGAAATGATCGGGTGTCTATACCCTTGTATAGGTAGTATATATTCCCCGCAAGCACACAAATCGCAAATGCGTCAAGAACAATCATTGTTAAATCATAAAAGCTAGGCAGATATGCCGATTCCCTAAAGTACAAGTATAAATAGATAGACCAATCATATTTCATCCATCCCAGGACCCTCTACACCAATCCCAGTCAGGATCTCGCCATTGAGCTGTAAGCCTCGCCAGACAAGACCCGACGATAAACAGAAAAAAGCCCCCATTTGTGCAACCGTTCAGTCTGTTCGCTAACCATACAGTTTGGAGAAACGGCACTGCTGTGATCGTGAAATGAAAATATGTAACAACAACAACAACCGAAGCGTTGAGAAGAAAGCATCAAATTAAAATCATAGATGGAGTCCGGAAAATTGGCCAGCTTGAATCCGCCTTCCGCGCTCATTGGGTCATTGCTCCTTGGACTCGGGCGCTGTGGATTCTGCGTCAAGCATCTCGGCATCTCCCTCCTCAGCCTTCTTCTCGGAGTCGGCCTCTTCCGTCGCGTCCGCAGGGGCCTTCTCCTTCTCCTTTTCAGGTTCAGGGCCCTTGATCCAGGAGCGGAACCGTTGGTTGGACTCGTCCACTTGGTCCTTGCTGAGCCCCTGCGCCCAGCTCGGGTTGTTGACAAACTTCTCCATGAACCGATCGCGTCGTCTTTCTTTGACAGCGGCCTCCTCCTTGGCGATGTCTTCAGGCGACTCGTCTGAGTGAGCCTTGGGACGCCACCACCAATCGCAGCTCCCGGGTTCGTACAGGATATGATAGCTGTTGGCACAGATCCGGATGATAAGACCATCCTGATGGACCAGCGGCCGATAGTAGCGATTGTACTCCTCTTCTTGCTCAAGCTTGGGCGGCAGGTTCCGCTTCAGGAAGGGCATGCGCATCTGCGAAAATGGAACACCTTCCGTAGGATCACGCATTGTGTAGGCAGAGACGTAGTACGACCAGCGCGCTTCCTGGCTCAGCTCTTCGTTCTCCAAGGTTGCGTCCTCTGGGGTGAGCAGTTGCACGGTGGTCTTCTTGGTTTGAGGGTTCTATAGAGTGTTCAATCAGCTTTGGACTTGCAATGATGGACCAATAGAGGGAGCACTTACATAAGTAATACGATAGATATCGCCGTCCTTGACTAGCCTCTCAACCTGCTTCCGGTACTGGATCTCCTGGTTATGTGTCGTCTCCTCCCGGTCCCGCTCTTTGAAGAAGAGATTGATGATGTCGGCACTGCGATCCTTGGAGTCACCATTGAATATGGAGCCAGCAAACTTGGCGATTCCGGCAAACATCTTTTCCAGATTGTATAGCTGGTACCCGCTTCGCAAGTAGTAGCGGCGGAGTGTTTCCTCCAAGTGCGAGGCATCCATGTCGCCCTTGATGACCTCCTCGCACATGCGGACGATCTGTTGGTACAGATTGGCCTTCGGGTCGCAATCGTAGAAGAAGTCGGTCGGGAGCTTGTCAATGAGACCGAGATCACGGGCGGGTTTGGGGATCAGCGCCCGGCGCACATGCTCATGAGCATCCTTCTCGTGCATCTTGATCCGCAAAAGTCGCGAATACAGAATCTCGAAGGTGCGGAAGAAGCAGTAGATGTTCAGATTGGCATACAAATGATGAACCTTCTTGACGTAGGATTCATTCAGCGCGTATTCTCGCTGCAGATTGAAGTTTCCTTGCCCAGGGTGTTCCATCCACTTCAGCTCCGCGACGTCAAATGCCTCGGCAGGTTCGGGGACGGGAGTCGATGGGACCAGAACAGCATCCGGGGTGCCATCGC